TGGAGTTGCATGTTCTCCCCATGCATGCGTGGGTTTCCTCCGGGTACTCCGGTTTCCCCCACAGATCACAACATGCCCTATAGGTTATAAATTGTAATTGGATAAAAGCGTCTGCTAAATGAATAAACATAAACATAAACAAAGGACAGAATGACCCAGGTAAGCACGTACCACACCCATATGCCATGGATCCACATCTTTGTTAGACTGATGAGGCAGAGCGAGCCTGTTTCAGCACCTCAGACAGGTAGTAATTTTCCGCCACCCCGATGAGTATTTGAGTATCGGTCTGATACTTCAATAAAGAAAGCTAACTTTATTTTAACATTTAACAACTCTGTTAATAAACAGAGCACAATTATGTTCTGTTTATTAAAGTAAAGGAAGGAGAGAAAAAATGTTTTCCTAGCATTTTTTTTATTTTCCCATTTAATCCGATTAATCGAGTCGAGACCCCATCCGATTCATTGATGATACAAATAATCGTTTGTTGCAGCCCTAGTAGCAAAAATGTTAATTGCAGAACAATACTAGAACAAACTACTGCTAACATTCTTGCTGAAAGATAGGAAAACAACAAAGATGAATGTGGGATCTCACATGTAACACTTCGGTATGTACTGAAAATGTCCAGATTTTGAATGAATGACAGACAGAGCCATAGATTGCCTACTGGGTTATCTAGAGACTACATTCATGTATACATAATTTCTAAGTTCAGGCCGATCAGAATGCATACCCTTTAACATACATGTCCTGGTCAAATGGGTGGGTAAACTTGCCTTTCTATTGCAGGGCTTTATTATGGGGTTGTATTTGGCCAATTATAAGGGCTCCTGGGTAGTTTTGAGCCCTAACAAAGATTCACATATTATATAGAGACTCAAAAATTTGTTTCCAATTGTAAAAGAAAAATTTTCTAGAACACCATTGTGGTGCTTGCCAGTTACACTGAGGTTCACTACCACACCCACAGCTATTGCTTCACTAACACAGCTTTTGTAGGCCTATTTAGGAAATAGCGTGGCTGCCACTCTCCTTGTCTTCTTCGTCTCTCTTTCTCCTATGGCGATGTCCCTTATAGTGATTGCCGCCCGGTGTGCAACTGTGGGCTCCCACCAGCCCCTCCCCTTCTGCACACCACCACGCTCCCCTACTGCTTGGTTCAGGTTGGGGTATAACCCTGGATGGCCACCATCTGCTGTCCTGCTGCGCCATTGTCCCTTCGGGTCCATCTCCCGCACCGGAAGGTCGAAGTCGGCGCTGCATGGGCATCGGCCACCCTGGCATCTTTTCGTACCCTTGGGGCGCTAGGCGATTCTCAGTCAGAGTCACAAGTCCATAGGGCGGTTGCACCAGATCCACTCCTTAGTCTTGCAAGGCATTGTCTCCAATAACTGCTCCAGAATCAGTGTGTCCAGCTCACCTGCAAACTGCCCAGGGAAGAGCCACTGACACACTTCATCCCAGAGCCACTGTGCAAAGGCAAAGGGTTGGTCCTGGGTCCTCATTCTGGCTTCCCGGAATCAGTGGCCGGAGTCCTCTGATGCGCATTCCATCCAGTCCAGTATGGCCCATTTGAACCCCCTCAAACATCTTGATGAAAGCTTCCGGGACGTCCTCCTGTGTTATCTGGTGCAGGAGAGTGGGTGGGCCTCTTGGTGTGGTGGGTGGTGCCCCTCCGGTTCGGATTTCCTGCAGCTCCAGGATCGCTGTCGGCTGCTCCACCTGTCGGTGCAGTACCTCCATCTGATGCGACTGCAGCATTCCACAGACTTGCCGTTTAGCCAAGCCATCTCTACCAACATCTGACCCAGCACTGCAACCAGCGTGTCGTGGTCTGGCTGCTGCTGCATCGTCACGGCTTCCATTAATTGCTGGGGAGGTGTGTGCACTAATTGCTGGGGAGGTGTGTGTGAAGCCCCATGTTGGGTGACAATTGTAGCGTTTGTCAGCTACAGCAAGGTTCGCAGACACACAGATGACACAGCTTTTACTTCAATAACACATTATTTGTCCTCTTTAGGGAATAGAGTAGCTGCCATTCTCCTCGTCAGACTCAGAGCTACACAGGTTCTTGACATCTACACCCCCCCCGCGCGCGACGTTCCTTATAATCAGTCGCAGAAGCGCCCCTCCTCTTTTGTGCACCGCCACAACCATTAAAACACAAAGTGATAAGCAAAAACAGGTGAGAGGGAGTGCGTCTGTGGGAACAACTAGGAAACATATGATAGGTGCTCTTCAGGTTTTTTTGAAACATCCAATGTAGTCAAGGAAGAAAAAAAGAGGTATCCGAGGCACTCCAAATAAAGTAATTAATTTGCTGAACGAGGAAAAGTTGACACGCTTCAGTCGCACGCAACATTATTCAGGACTAAAATTACATAAATTGCACACGTGTCCCTAATTAAAGCAATTCCAGTCATATCACACAAACGTGATCAGGAACCAACATAACCTAACAAGAGTCTTGTTTATTCAGCTTGCTTGGCAAGCAAGCACCTGCCTGCCATGAGCAGTCTCAAGAGCCAGGAAGCATGAAGAGTGACACTCGTATGAAAGACAAGGAAATCAAAACATCATACCTCCTTCACTACAGCAGCTCTGAAGGTCCAGTTTGAGGGACTAAAATCAGTAGCAGAGGCTCATGGGAGCAAGTACATATGATGCGATCTTCAGCACAAATGGCATTTCATTTCACGTGGGTTTAATTGTCCAGTGTTTCAGGACATTATCAAATAACATTTCTGTTAACGTGTGAGTTAAATATGTGAAACTCAGAAATGTTTTGCTGGGTTTTTCATTGTTTGTGCTTCAACTTTGTCAACTTTAGCGCATCCAGCTGAATGTGAGCAGTCAGCGTGTCCATTATAAACCTCAGAATTCATCCAGTTGCTTCTGTTTTATGTCACATTTCAGCAGAAGACACCAGCACAGCACTAAGCTTCTTCAGTTTGGTGAGTCTGAATAGCCACAGGCGTGACAAACTGGCATAATGAGGATGTCTTTGTTGTGGCGTTACAGAAAGAGCTTGTATTTGCTCTAGTTATGTCTTCTTCTGACTTGGATTATGACATATCTACCTCAAGGAAAGTGTTCCTCACTTGGATGGATATGGTGAAGACATTTTCATTACCATGGAAATGATTTGCAATCACCCATCTCCTGTAGACGTCCAGGTTTCTTTTTTCCTTTAGAGCTCACTGCTGCTTCTTTCTTTTCCTCAGACAGCACCGAAGTGCTCTTTCTAGTTGATGGATTTGTTTTGTTTTTGCGCCTAGTTTGTCTTTTACGCTTTCTCAAAGAGCTCTTGTGAGCGCTGTTGCTGCAGCGACTTCTTGACTGCCACCAAAAGTCTTTTTTCCTCATAAAAAGATGAATACAACAAAAAATGGCTCAAATATTTCCAGACTTAACTTTATTCACAACAATTACTGTCTGTTATGTATTTGATCCTGCATGCTTAAAGGCATTTATGCATTTTTTTTGTGCTGTTTTGTCTGATGTTTGGAAAAAGCTCCGAGCAGAAAGTTGGCATTTAAAAAAATTATTCCAGAGATTACAGTTTGAACCATTTGCAACTTGGCTCACCCTCATGAAACGGTAGATATTTAGAAACAGATCTGAAAACTACAAACCAACATATAATTTTTTTTTTACTACCGGCTAACCAGTTACTCTTGCTGATGACGTGATCGAGCAGCACAACAGTTTAGAGCTTCAACACCGCGACATGGCTGAGCGTACACTCCTCCCATTTTTGCATGAATGTTGTCAACTTACATCAGCTCTGGACCGAATGCAGCTAATGCTGCAGAGCAGAGTGTGTGGATGAAGACATGCTTGTAAAGAACACAGGGCTATGTTGGTTGCATGAACCTGGTTTGGAGACCGATGGTGAGCAGAACAACCTCGTCAGTAAAATATGCCGGGTGAGAGTAAAGTCGTATCTGCATTACCCGCTCGTTAACGCCAAATCCCTTAAACTCTGTTGGTTTCTTAACACATGACGAACACACAAGGCATTCAGATGTTTTGGACATCTTCTGTGATTTTGTTTGAACAGTTTTCACTCACAAACCATTCCAGTTTCAGATGTTTAATTTTAAATATCTAATCTGAAACCACACACCCCGGCCCAGTGATACTGGAACGAACCGTTTTGGGCCAGACCGCTGATCTGAGCACAGTTCAACAAAAGTGACCTCCAACATTATTGTAATATTATTTGCGATAACACAACAGAGCATCATTTTACCTGCAGTTATTCACTCCTGAAGTAAAACCTAACTTCTATCAGCAAAAAAAACATGAAAAATGAATCAGAAAAGCAGAACATAATGTTATTTGGGTTTTTACATTTTTTCACTTTAGTTCAGACAATTCATGATTTAGTATTTTCATCACATTTAGCTTGTATTTAATTTAAAATATCTTCACTTTATTTGTTTTATGATTTTGTTGCTGCTTTGTTTGTAAAATGAACCTTAACATAAAATTTATTGTAGATATTTTGTATTTGAAAATTAAATGTAATTGACACTAATAATTTATACTGAAATGTATTCTATACATTTTAGAATTATTTGTTCAGCATTTGTTCGTTCATTATGTTTTTCTTCTGAATGCCTTTTTAAGTTCTTTTTTAAACACAGAAAAGTTTTTTTTACCTTTCAATCAAAACTGTAAGCAAGTAAAAAAAAGTTTCTGTGTTTAAAAAACGAACTTAAATATGTATTTGTTCTACAATTCATCTGGCATGCGAGACCGTTTTAAAACAGCCTTTTACATGTATAAACATAACAGAATACATCACAATATAGATCTTTACCGCATGAGCTTTGAAATCTATTGTGATAGATTTTAGGCCATATTGCCCATTCCTAGTGTAAAATTAGTCAAATGCTTTTAAAAAACTGTGTTAGAATCATTTCTGTAACGTTTTAGAAAAGCCATGGTTACTGATGATGAGAAAAGATGCCTCTGGTCCCACTGACCTGTGAGAATTTATCATTCTGAAGCTCCTCCAGCTCCTTCTGCAGTCTCTTGCACTTCGCCCTCCACTGGCGTACAGCTTCCTGTGCCCTGGTCTTCAGCTCATCTCTGCTCCTTGTGCTCTCCTGAAGCAGTGCCTCCATCTCTCTCCTGTCCGTCTGTCCACGGCTCTGAAATTATGATGGAATTTATGAATTAAGTCTAAATTCAAGTCCCCTAGGTCTATATTTACAGCAAGGAGAATAAGTATTTATCAGTATTTTTATCAGTAACGGTATTTCTAAGTGGGATTTGACACAAAAATTTCCACCAGATGTTTCAATCATGCCAAATATTGAATATTGAATTCATACAAAGAAATCAGAATGTATAAACTTACAAGTTGAGTCATAATAAAGTGAAATGACAAAGGGAACAAGTATCAAACACGCTTTAATAGTTTGTAGAAAATCCTTTGTTGTGGTGATTCCAGCTTCTAGACGCCTCTTGTATGGAGAGACCAGTCGAATGCATTGCTCAAGAGTCATTCTGGCCCATTCTTCCACACAAACACTCTTTAAAACTTGACAGTTCCTTGGGCCTCTTATGAACTTTGATCTTCAGGTCTCTCCATAGATTTCTATGAGGTTTAGATCAGGTGTGTAACGTCCAGCAACGGTCAGTTTATAGGTACAGTTTGACCATTCAACATCTGGTCAAAAAGGAGACACAAGACTGCATGTGTCCCCTTTAAATTGGCCTGCCTTCATCCCATCAGCTGGAACTCAGAGCTCAGAGTCTCTGCAGCTGAACACAGATAACGACATGTCAACAATAACATTTTCTCCTCAAGGTCCAATCTTTCAGGTCTTCATGCCTCTGTTGGGGTTATTAGGAGCGAACAATTAGTAAGCTTCAACTTACTTTTGGATTCTTCAAAAAATTCTGTAAATAAGAGAATATTTACTGATTTATTAATTAATTAAGATATTCTTAGACATCTCCGGGGCACCACCCAATCCAAAACTCTTATCAGTCTTTCTTGAAGTTCGTAGAATCCTTGGAGCAGAGACTTCTCTTCGACACAACAAAGCTACTGGAGACGAAAATCTGAATTTTATAACGTTAAATTAACAATTTGTCAAATGAATAAACAGTGGCATAAATGAATAATAACCATGTGATATAATAAAAGGATGTATATTCAAAATAATGTTCAAGCTGTTTTGTGTGTATGTATGTGTGTGTGTGTTTCTAAAATGGAGTCTGTATACAAGATGGCTGACCCCTTTGTCTGGCTAAAGTGTGGGTGGCAACTTGCACTTTAACTTCCAAAGCACTTAGAATCAGTAGTAACTTAATCTTAAATTCACTCAAAACATTTCAAAGGATCATGAAACAACACAAAAGATTAATCACGAATAATATCTTTTAGTTTAACCACGTGGCCAAAGCAGAAAACATTTAAAGATACCAACAATGATCAATAAGCAGTTTATTCTTTCAAAATGACCCGACGGACGTGTTTGGGACGAAAGAAGAAAACACGAAGCTACTTTTTAAGCAATAGCGCGGTTTTATTGCTTATTCTGGACTATAGAGGAAACGGAAGAAGAAGGAGAGAGAGAAAGAGATGAGTTTCTGATCACCAGAAGAGCGAGGCGTCCCTCCCTCTTTGAATTGACGGTCCTCCGTGTTTCTCCGCAGTTTGGCGTCGTCCGTCGGTTTGATGCTTTCTCCGTTGTTTGGCGTTCTCCGTGAGTGTTTCTCCACGGGCTGGACAGAGACAGCAAAGTTTCTTTCTGTGCTGAGTTAGAACTTACAGCGTGCTTGATGGAGTTGTTGCTTTCCTCCGCAGTTCTGTGTCCTCAAACATCAGCTGGAGGGGAGCAGAAACGAGCAGATCTGATGGGCTTGCAGTTTAGTTTTTCCAGCGGTCCCGTGGGCTCAACTTGGCACTTAGAGCTTCCGCGTGCTCAAGGGAGTCGGAGCGTTCGACAAGCGTGTTCTTACCGCCAGGTATCCTGGGCAAAAGAACGAGGTTCCTTTGTCTTTCCTGATGATTTATAGTCTGAGTTCGCGGGAAAGCTCCGTGACTCCCACACATGCAAAGAATGTGTTTCTGGTATTAGGCGGTGACGTCATCACAATGCTTCCGTGTGCAAATCATCATGGGAAATGAAGTTTCTTGGCGCTGATGTGATTATTTGCTTTTCAGAGCAATTTAAGCACAGTCATTTTGGAGAAAATCACTGCATAGTAATTTCCTCATGAGGTCAGACCCTCAACATTCCCCCTTTTGGTTTCGGGGATCGCGCCCAAAGCTCGATCGTCGGAAGCACAGATGGGTTTGTTCCTCATGAACGTAGGTCGACTTGATTGTCGGAAGCACAGGTGGGTTTGTCCCTTAGGACGTTGGTCTCCTTGGACGCCTTTGTCTTTGGTCTTTGTCTTGGATCCTGGCGCCTTTGGTCTTTGATCCTGGTCAGGCACAAAGAGGATAGGAAACGGGATAGTCCCCAACGCGCATAACGAGAAGAAGCCACTCACGCAGGTGGTACGCAATGATGATGTCGTCCATGCGAGAGGTAGTAGTGTAGAAGGAGGAAGGTCGGTGGGCGGTTAACTCCACGAGGGGACACAAAGGCATCTCACCGCCGGCCATACAGTTCAGTTTATGGAGCACGTGGTGATGTACGAGGTCCATAGTTCGCAAACGCGCATTGACCTATGTGGTCCCAAGATTCCCCCCTTTTTGGTCCAAAGGGTGGATCAGGACAGTCTTTGGCTAAAACAAGGACCATAAAACTAAGAGGTACTACAATGTGCTGGTGCGTCAGACAGAGTCATTGACAGACTGAGCTGGGCCGGCACATAACCACTAGATAATATGTGACCAAGTAAGAAACAAAAATACAGAAACCCCCCCCCCCAAAAAAAAAAAATATATATATATATATATACAGGTGCTGGCCAGTAAATTAGAATATCATCAAAAGGTTGAAAATATTTCAGTAATTCCATTCAAAACGTGAAACTTGTACATTATATTCATGCAATGCACACAGACCAATGTATTTCCAATGTTCATTACATTTAAATTTGATATTCATAAGTGACAACTAATGAAAACTCCAAATTTGGTATCTCAAAAAATTAGAATATTCTGAAAAGGCTGAATATAGAAGACACCTGCTGCCACTCTAATCAGCTGATTTACTCAAAACACCTGCAAAGGCCTTTAAAAGGTCCCTCAGTCTTGTTTTGAAGGCACCACAATCATGGGGAAGACTTCTGACTTAACAGCTGTCCAAAAGACAATCATTGACACCTTGCACAAGGAGGGCAAGACACAAAAGGTGATTGCTAAAGAAGCTGGCTGTTCGCAGAGCTCTGTGTCCAAGCACATTAACAGACAGGCGAAGGGACGGAAAAAATGTGGTAGAAAAAAGTGTACAAGCTCTAGGGATAACCGCACCCTGCAGAGAATTGTGACGACAAACCCATTCAAAAATGTGGGGGAGATCCACAAAGAGTGGACTGCAGCTGGAGTCAGCGCTTCAAGAACCACCACGAGGAGACTCATGAAAGACATGGGATTCAGGTGTCGCATTCCGTGTGTCAAGCCACTCTTGAACAAGAAACAGCGCAAGAAGCGTCTCGCCTGGGCCAAGGACAAAAAGGACTGGACTGATGCTGAGTGGTCCAAAGTTATGTTTTCTGATGAAAGCAAGTTCTGCATTTCCTTTGGAAATCAAGGACCCAGAGTCTGGAGGAAGAGCGGAGAAGCACAGAATCCACGTTGCATGAGGTCCAGTGTAAAGTTTCCACCGTCAGTGATGGTGTGGGGTGCCATGTCATCTGCCGGTGTTGGCCCACTCTGTTTCCTGAGGTCCAGGGTCAATGCAGCCGTCTACCAGGAAGTTTTAGAGCACTTCATGCTTCCTGCTGCTGACCAACTTTATGGGGATGCAGACTTCACCTTTCAACAGGACTTGGCACCTGCACACAGTGCCAAAACCACCAGCACCTGGTTCAAGGACCATGGTATCCCTGTCCTTGATTGGCCAGCAAACTCGCCTGACCTTAACCCCATAGAAAATCTATGGGGTATTGTGAAGCGGAGGATGCAATACGCTAGACCCAACAATGCAGAGGAGCTGAAGACGACTATCAGAGCAACCTGGGCTCTCATAACACCTGAGCAGTGCCACAGACTGATCGAGTCCATGCCACGCCGCATTACTGCAGTTATTGAGGCAAAAGGAGCCCCGACTAAGTATTGAGTGCTATACATGCACATTCTTTTCATGTTCATTCTTTTCAGTTGGCCAACATTAGAGAAACAAACATTTTTTCATTGGCCTTTAGAATATTCTAATTTTCTGAGATACCAGATTTGATGTTTTCATTGGTTGTCACCTATAAATATCAAATTTAAATGTAATGAACATTGGAAATACATTGGTCTGTGTGCATTGCATGAATATAATGTACAAGTTTCACGTTTTGAATGGAATTACTGAAATATTTTCAACCTTTTGATGATATTCTAATTTACTGGCCAGCACCTGTATATATATAAAAACATATAACATCCAAGAAAATTCATAGCAACCTTGAGGTCTCATAAAATACATTCTTAGGTCATACATTCAATGTGTAGCTTATAAAGAATGTGACATAATGCAACACTCAGATAAAAATGTGAGGTAGACTAAAGTGAGAACTACTCTTAGGGTTACAAAATAATAAAGAAAATGTTGCTCACCCCCTTTAGACAGGTGTGGTACATTCACGCTTGGAGTCTCCCCGAACGCGGTCACGAGGCACACCGTAGGTGAGCAAGTGCATCTTATCTTGGAGTTTCTTAACACGCCTGTAGGCAGAATAAGCTATCACGGCCGTGATGAGCCATCCCATCCCCAGGGCGACCAATGTGCAGATTAAGGTGGTATAATCTGTGTCAATGTAGCGTCAAAGTAAGTTCACGCGGGGTTTGTGTGAACTTAACGAGTTTGGTTCCTTCAATCAGTAATTGTTGGTCAATTTCTAAATCGAAGGCAAAGTTATAACCCTGGAAAGCATCCATGATCTCAATCTCCGAATCATGCTGTTCGAGGTTGAGGTGATGGAGTGCCAGGTTTCTAGTTCAAAGTGGAAATGCCTACCGTCCTTTCAAATACCAATG